CACACTACTCGTACAATTATGCCGCGCCGCTGTATCTTTAGACATATCCCTAGGGCATTGCATCCTTCCATAACCTCTTTGTAGATTGGTACCAGTTGTATATTTAAAAATAGTAGTCTTGCTGAAGAAGAAGAAGAAAACCATATTCCAAGAAGGAGAAGATTTTTGTTGAATAACATTCGGAAGTCTGTCAAAGCATCCCGAAGGCAGCCGAGGCATTTCGGAAGCTCGGTGTCCCTAAGCTTCCCGCAGCTTTGTTTTCGTAGCTTCGACCATTATAATTGAAATTTCAACTGTAATGCTATAAAGTTAAGGTAAGATACAGTCATCTTAAAAATTCCCTGGTGTGCAGTTACAAGTAAACTGTATTCAAAGTTTTTTAATCACCTGTCTGCGAACGCGAGGTGTAAGTTTTGGCAAGCCAAATTCGCTGCTCCTTATGATTTTATTACCTCAGCCGAAAGTCTGTGCAGTGGTGCAGAGAAGAAAGTGCAGTGGTCGGTATGTAAATCCCCGAATCGTCTCTGATCACACGTTAGCCGAAGTAGAGATAACAGACAAAACCATTGTGCTTGCTTATCCCCCTCACAAAGTATGTTTCACTTGCACTCATGCCCACTGTGTCCAACTGCACTCGCGAAGACCTGCTAAGGCAACTGACAGGGGTTTAGAGTTGCTACGTACAGGGCCAAAGAAATGTGCACAGGATTTCTACTGGTTTCTGGTATTGACTCGACAAGAAAAAGATCTGTCGTCGCCATATGGGTTATGACAAGATTTGCTAATGCAAACCAATTCAAGAATTAAATAATGTAACCTAGCTTAGGTGTTTGTTAAAGAATAATAACATAACCAATGTCTACCTACTATACGTAAGATTTATAACAAGTTTACAAGTGGAGGACTTTGGACCACGAAGTTCATCAACCGTTAAACAAAAAAACTTTTATCCGAAACAAAATATTTAAACTACGCATTGGTACTTAAAGTATTGCAATGATGATGTATAATTATAATGTTCATCATTCAACATTCTGGCTAAATTGTTACAAAATAATATATTTTTATTATCACTCAAAATATTTTGCATTTCAACTATCCATTTACAAGTGTTTTCTCATTCTGTGAATTGCATTTTGTTATTAAATGGTGTTTACGTTACATTAACTAAATACCTAATTTCCTGAATTCGAATAAAAATTTCTAAAAGTATATTTTAGTAAATCAAACTTATTTTGTAATATGTATGTACAAACGTCTGTCTTCTCCGACTTTTTTGTAATACTCAGATGACTGTCTCGCCGGGGTAGGAAGTCAATTGACCTTCTTCGTTCTTCTTCTCCTTCGTTTCTGACATACGTCTTTCACTTCCTGCATACGCATCAGTCTTTGTAGACAGGTCTGCTTATTCTTGGTACGTTTCACCAGGCCTTTTTAAAGGATATTTTCAAACTGTTTGAGAATGTTTACGTAGAGGTCGAATACAAAAAAACGAATGGAAGGGCCTTAAGCCATGATTACTATCAGAATCGTTGTCGCTAAAACTCTCACTACCATAATGTTGAACACTATGAAATCTTGGTAACGATTGGTCGTAGTTTCTAATTTGAAAACTGGACTGCTAATATAATTTAAACTTTATTGGCATATCGTTGAAAGTTCAATACCTATTATTGCAAGTTACCACGTTTTTATTCTTTATTGCCATTTTATTCAATGTGCTGCCATCTAGCGGGAAGCTAAAATAATAATAGCTGTCAGACTACCAACGATTAATGACTTTTAACGTTCTTTAAAAAAAGTCGACCATAATAGTAGCGGTATACGGTTTACTTTCGTTTCTTATAACAGAAAATCAATTACGATAAACAGAAAATGGAAAATGTATTGCAATGAAATAAAATAAGACTTAACAATGATTATGAAACACCACCCTGGATTATTATCCAAGGTGGATTAGATACAGGCGCGACTGCCATTTTTGCACTCTAAAGTAGCGAAATAAGGCTTTTTCCACGATTTTCGAGGTATTGCGCGAGGTAATTGACATGACCGACGTGCAAAGCGAAAATGGCAGACTGAGCTGAAGTAATCCGCGTACTGCTGGCACCCGTTAAACGCCCACTAAGTGTTTCTAGTGTATTTATTGTTCTATGGTACTTTGACACCAATTCCAAAATTGGTTGGTATTGTATCGACCTTTTCTCACGTTCTATTCCACGTTCACTCCATAAATGTGTGTCGTTATTCCACTACCATACACAGTCTCCACATGATCAAACCATTAAAGATTTCCTTTGTCAAACATTACTTTGAACAAACAAACAAACCACATAAGTATCCGCTTTGGTAAACACTACTTTAAGTAAACAAATAAACAAAGGTTTAGGTACTTTAGATTAGCAATTTTAAATAAATCCTATTTGTTTTTATTTAAACGATGACGTCATTACTTGCTTTGAATTTGTGAACTGAATGTAACAAATAGAAATCAGATCAATAAGATACTTAACAAGTGAGTTTAGTGCCATTTAGCTAATAGAGCGTCGAGGGGGTAGATAAAGACAAGAAGCGGATAATTATCGCGGAACGAATGGGACGGCGATAGGGAACAACGCAAAATGCGACCCCGAATGCCTCTTAAACTAAACGGGAAAATATACAAGACGTTGATTAGACCTTTGGTCTTACATTAATCGGAATGTTGGGCCATTATGGGAAATTATCAAAGTCTATACAATCGAAATGTGAATGTGATTAAGTAGTGATCAGTATTAATAATATCATTGAGTAATATAATATTGATTGTAATTAATATTACGATGTTTTACTACTATGATATTAATTTATTTTTTGTGAAATTACTCGACTAGATTTCTCACAGATGGCGCTACGGCAAAAAAGCTGTTGAAAAAAACAAGATCTACAAGCATATGGAAAAATTCGTAAGGTCCGCTAGTTCGATCAGTGGCTTAGTTGGCATAGCGTCTGATACACTTTACTGGAAGACGTTGGTTCGAATCCAGCCGGATTGAACAAATTTTTCTTAGAGTTCGATCTTTGTATTAATCATTATCACAAACTAGTGGAGTAATTCACAAAAATAATTGTATATGATGGTGGTCAAATATCGTGACATTCTATAAACTAAACAGTCTCAGTACAGAGTACTAAAGAAACCAACCTCAAAAGTCATTCATCCCCTAGTTTGCCACCCTTAGAGGTGGAATATTTTCTTCAAATTTAAGTGGAACCACAACTGAGGTACCCTTTTCCCAACAAAAAAAGAATCACCAAAATCGGTTTACAAATGCAAATGTCTTATCGCGTAACATACATACAAGAAAAAGAAAACATACAGTCGAATTAAGAACCTCCTCCTTTTTTGAAATCGGTTAAAAAACAAATTACTCCACTAGTTTGTTATAAATCGAACACCAAGAAAAGTTCATTCGATCTGATGTGCCATACCATAGCGATCGCTCTACCAACTGAGCTACAGATCGAGTCAGCAGACCTAATGAAATTTATGGAAGTTTTTCTTCACCATCCCTTACACCCAGATAAGGCACAGACTCAGGTTCCAGTCCTGTCAGATCGAAGGAATTTTTCTTTGTATTTTGAGTATTTAATAGCAAGATTGAATGTAGTGACGGAAAAGTGAAGATAAAATAATCATTTATTGTAATATGTATCTAATGCGCAGACGTTTGATTCACTTTATCCGTAACATGTAAAAAGTTATAATAAATTTGTTTTAGGGGTCTTCAAATTAGACATTTTTAACATATTGTAACATGTGGAAATTGTTTTGGAATTGTGTGTGGAAATTTTAAAATAGTGTACTGTTTACACGCTACGCAAGTTATTTTGTATAAATAACATACTTGCTGAAATTCGTAATTGCGCTTTTGTAGCACATTAAATAAATATCGAGTTCTTAGGTTTTCGCTATCGTTACACATAGGAAATGTAACTATTTTTCATGGTCACGGCTGACATGGGATCTATAAAGGGCCCGAAACGTTGTTTGTTTGAAAAGACAAATATACGCGATTTAAATCCGGAAAAATAGTTTCATTTCCTAAATCAAATAAATGTTTAGTTTCAATTTGAGGAGGAGTGTTGAGCGCATCTCTAGAGCCTCAGCGCTATTCCTGTCATTACTATTCAACAATATTAAAAATTCAACCAATGCAACCAATAATATTCAAAATTCGAAGTAGTGCGCACATATTAAACGTTTTTCAATATCATATTGTGTTTCAACTTTAAAATAATCTTAACACCACTGTGGCATTGTAGGCGCACAACTACTAATTTTCGTACAAGATTTAGAAGCGCAGTTGCACCACCACTGTCATGACATGCGCATGCCACATTTGTAATCACAATAAGTGAATTAAAAATTACTAAAGCGCCACAGATACGCTACTGCAGCGCTTATATAAGCGTCCAATTTTAAGGCGCCCTGGGGCCAAAGAACCAAAGATAAATGGGTTGTGTGAAAGATGATATGTGTTAATGAAGGTTGTGAACAACAGGGTAACGTGTGATTGTACGAAGAAGATATATAGCGCCGAGTCCATGTTACGTGATAAGGGCAGAAGAGCAACGGTGTCATTTAGCTAGGTAGGTAGATACGTATATAACCTCATGAACATTTTGGCATATTTAGTAGCAGCAGAGCTCCTTGTGAAAGAGTTAATCCAGAGAAGTACTGCCACCTTGCCTCTTTTTGGCGCCAAGACGTGTCACTTACCATCAGTAACGTATCACGACTTGTTCGTCTAATCACTTGGTATCAAAAAAAATATACCTTTTGATAATTTTTTTGACCGAATAATGCGAAAAAATGATGAAGAGATGTATTTTTCACGTTTCTTTTAGTACATTCATGTTTTTAAAAGTAATCTCGACAAGATAAGGTAAGAGCATAATAACTTTAAATACATGCACGTAACTTTTTTACCATCATTTAGTGATAAAAATCATTCTACTACGCCCGTTTGAAGAGGTTAGTTCGTTTTTTGTATGTCATTTATATTTTCATAATACAACAAAATGACAGTAATGTATAATCCATAGTTAAAATAAACAAACAAAATAAAAAAAATATGTGTGCGTATGAAGCCGTGGTAGCCTTTCACCAACTGCCTCTCGAGCACAGGCCATGGGTTCGAATCAAGCTCGCGCCTCGAATTTATATGCGAAATTTAATTTCAAATGTACCATGAGAATTCCGCTGAAGGAAAACATCGGGATGAAACCTGCACGTCGAAGAAATTTCACAGCCCTCGGCAAACGTGTGAAAGTCCCTAACCCACATTGGGTCAGCGTGGCGGATTATAGCCTAAACCCTCGCCTGAGAGAAGACCATGCCCGGCAATGGAACTTATAATGAGTTAATTATGTGTATGGATACACGTGCATATTAATTAACAGCTGGACATTTTAAAATGCAACTGTAATTAAGTACTACACATCTACATGACTGTACGGTTTTTTTTTAATATGAATATATATGGAATCCAAACAACATGTTATTAACACTTATGCTTCTCAACAAATTACTTACTAAAAAAAACAAAACTATTAAACTAAGACTAATAAATTTACTTTCTTGACGACCTCGGTGGCATAACGGTTTACATTGTCCCGGTAGGATCAATTTGGGAAATGAACTTTTCTAAATTGTTGGTCTGAGTGTTCTGAGATGTGCTCTATCCGTTGCTGTGGTACACTTATAGTGTAGGGAATTCATTTTACTTACTGTAATGTTACTGTAGGGATTTCTTTTAAGACCAGGCAGTTGGAATGATTTTCTGGCACATATTATTATTATTACTTAAATATTATGTTTAAAACATTTTAGGAACATATTTTGGAGCAATCAGTTTGAAACTCTACAATAACATATTATTTTTCTTCAAGTCAAGCAATGAAGCTCAATTAGTTATCAATTCTAGATTTAAAAAATAAGTAAAACTACTTTTTATTACTTTTAACAATGTATTACACAATTTATCGTCAGCATTCTTTAATTGATTCTAGTATAGTAAAAGTACTCATTGAAAACAATCTCAAGAATGACCCAATCAAAAATCTTCCGACTATCTCAACGCACCCTTTGACCTTAAATATGATATCACTTGTTTTAATTCAGTTCAATATTTTACCACTGGACAGACGACACACGTTTTGTGGTAGATATTGTATAATACCAAGAATTCATAATCGTACTTGAACGTTAATTATGTTAGATAATATTTTTTGTATTTATTACGCGACGTATTTGAGATTGTGTAACTAAAATGAATGTAGTCAGGTTATTTGCAAGAAGAATGAGTTACAACAGCAAATGCTGGGAGCCGTTAAGAAAAGTAGGTATCATTGGAGTGCCTTTTGAAAAGGGGCAGAAGAAGTACGGTGTGAGCGTGGCCCCAGCTGCTATCAGGGATGCAGGCCTCATTGAACAACTACGAGAAATCGGTATGAGAAACATTTTCTATATATATAGAATATTAGTAGTGATTGTTTTTTAATACCAAGTGATGGGACGACCAAGGACGCCAAGCCAACACGCCTGTCCATAGCAGTTGCTGTGCCACTCAGAGCTTTAAATCGCAAAGATCTAAGGGGCACTGCCGCTCTGCGTCAGTCACATTGAGACGTTGATGAGTCCAATGACTGTCATTTCTTCACCACCCTTACCCTTCAAAATCGGAACGCAGGGTTTAAATTACTGCTAGATTTCAGTAGTAGGTAAGGTGGCAGTACTTCCATACGAACTCTATCACAAGGGGCTCTATGTGCTACTAAGTAATAATAAATAAGGGAATAGTATACGATAATCCCTTTTAAACACCGATAGATTAAGGTCGCGTTACAGATACGTGCGCATAAGTAAAGTTCATCACAAATTAAAGAATGTGTGAAGCAAATATCTGCCTTTGTTGCCGAATGATTACTAAGTATATGCTGGACTATCACGCAGAGGTCCCGGGTTCGATTCCCGGGCCGGGAGAAATATTTGGCCTACATTTATTTCTCTCGGGAATTTGGTTGTAATTTGTGGTTGTCTATGTGTGTCCATGGTAGCCATGACACAGGGTTTCCCTAGTGCAGACCATGAAAAAAAATTGTATGGAAAATAATTAAAAACTCAATTCAGTTTTTTTTATTATTTCTACTATGTTTGTGATATTAAACCACTTATTTATAGATACAAAAAAATACATAAACCCTATATCGACTGTGAACTGGCAACCGGTACTATCTCAATTTTGATAATTTTGCAGGATGAAGAAAACAATTGTTTGAAATTTTATTTGCTTTATTTTATTTATTTTATTACATCCATTTTACATCCATAAGTTTACATCCATTTTACTTCATTTACATATAAGCATCTTTTTAGAAGTTAGTACAATTATAAAGTCGATTCTGGCGCCAAAATGAAATGTATCTGAGATGGAATTTCTCGCAATGCTGCATAGTGTGAAATTGTATAAAATGGTATTAAAAAGTGAAATCTTCAGAAAATTGAGATAGTAGTTGATATGTCACATCACATTGCCTATAATTATAAATAGTATCTATTATCAATAAAGGGGAAAATTTATCGGACTAAAAATGGCGCTGGCCTTTTAACGGGTGATTCCCGTTTTGTGGTCTAAATTATAAGTAATGAAATTAATGGCAAGAAATAATTTGAAAAGTATACGGGCAATTCGTGAAATGATTATTCTATCCGTTATCCAACAGCATCCTGGGGGTCTACTCTCGATCTCCGTCCGACATCCGTCCGAAACAATTACTGCCAAATAAGCAATACTTGACCAAATGAAAAGACGCGTGATGCGAATGAAACTTCATACTTGATACTTGTCTTTTAATTTTGTCGAATATTACTTATTTGACAGTAATTGTTTCGGACGGATGTCGGACGGAGATCGAGAGTAGACCCCCTGAGCATGATAGCGAACCGGCTCGACTGTGAATCATTATTATACATATTGTTATGTAAAAAGTAACAGTGTAGTATTTTTGTATTCTCTGTTACTTTGTATACACGTACTAACATTAGTATTTTAATGGCAGTAGAGCTCCTTGTGAAAGATTTCATCCAAAGAAGTACCTACTGCCACCTTACCTATTTCTGCCTCCAAGCAGTAATGTGAGCATTATTGTGTTCCGGCTTGGGACGGTGGGTGCTGGTGAAATTACAGGCACATGGAACTTGTCAACTTATGATTCAGGGTGACGGGCGCAGTAGTAGTGCCCCTCAAATCTTTGCCATTTAAAACTCTGAGCGGCACTGCATAATGATAAAATTTATCATTGAATGTTTACTTATTTTATGGTTAATTTAACCGGTAGGATAATATTAACACTGACTATACTTACGTAAATAAACACTATCACAAGGCCGCACGATATTTTTTTGGTGAAATTTACGTAAAGTGCTGTTGAATTACGCAATCAATTCATAATTGCTTAGAATGTAACGTTGATAATTTGTAAAAATTATGTAAATAGGTACTAAGTACCCTTTCCAAGGTAAGGTATCATTCGGGACAGTTTCTTCAACCGTACCAAGCACACGTCGTGTTTGGAGTAGGGGAGAGTGGGGTAATTGCGGACGCGGGGTAATCGCGGACACGTTTATATTAGACGATACCGCGTCCCTCCCTCCCCGGTACTTCACTTGCGGCGACGCTTTCGATGTCCTTAGTGCTAGGACAGTAGTTTTGACAGACGGCCGCACACGTGTTTCAAGGTAAATAAAGTTCAATGTTTTTTCATGTTTTCTTATATTTTTATATGTTTTTCGATACTGTGTTACACGTTTACTAATTTAGGTAAGCTGAAATCGATTTTGGAAATTGTTTTCTGATGTATTTAACAACTAATTAGAGAATAAATCAATATTTCAAGTAGTTTTTAACCTATAAATTTGAACAAATGAATGATTTTATCGTGCTCGGGGGAATTGCGGTCAATACTTTTGGGGTAAACTCGGACGTCCGCAAATGCCCCAAAAAGTATGATACATATATATAAACTTCATTTAACTACACCTACTAGTTTATTAAGTCAAAATCATGCAATTTAATGTTGTAATATTGACATATTTCTTTTATGCGTTCCATTGACTTTTTGGTTGTCTTACTAAATACAAATTCAAATCGTCTACTGTATATGTAATGTTTCAGATGCCTCGAAAATATAAAAGAAAAACATCTAAAAAATACACCATAGAAGATTTGAAAGCAGCAGTCCGTGAAATAAAGGAGAAGAAAATAAGTTTTCGAAAAGCAGAAGAGAAATACAGTGTTCCGAGGTCAACGCTATTAGATCAGATGAAAAAACAGGATTCTGATATCACCGAACCAAAGCGAGGTAACAAACCCGTTTTTAATAACTCCCAGGAAGAAGAATTAGTAAAATTAATTGTTAACGCCTGTCGGAATTTTTATGGAATTACTATACCTTCGCTTCGAAAAATTGCATACGAATTTGCATCTGCTAATGGATTAAAAAACAACTTTGATAAAAAGGTGGGAATGGCAGGCATGGATTGGTACTACGGATTCATGGCGCGACATCCTTATATAGCCCTTCGCAAGCCGGAAGCAACATCGCTTAGTAGGATTTCTGCTTTCAATGCGGAAGAAGTTGAATTATTTTTCGACAATTTGTGTCTATTGATGTCTAAACATAAATTCAAGACGAATGACATCTACAACGTCGATGAAACAGGTATTAGTACCGTTCAGAGGAACTCGAGAATTCTTGCGATCCGAGGATTAAAACAAGTTGGTAAATGCACGAGCGGAGAGCGAGGCACTTTGACCACGGTCGTAAATGCTTGCAGCGCTGCTGGTTATTACATTCCACCCTTTTTTATTTTCAAAAGGAAACGCATGAACCCACTTTTGATGAAACAAAGCAACAATAATATGATTGCCTCCGTTTCCGATTCAGGATGGATATCAGAAAAACTCTTCGTGGACTGGCTTCACCACTTTAAAAGTTTCGCTCGCCCATCACTTGATAATCCAATATTACTGATACTTGACAACCACGAGAGTCATATAAGTTTACCAGCTTATAACATTTGCAAAAAAAATAACATCCATGTCCTGACGCTGCCACTTCATACATCACACAGGATGCAACCTCTCGATCTAACTTTCCATGGTCCATTGAAAACAGCGTATAACAAAGAATGCGAAAGTTATATGACAAACAATCCTGGTGCCAAAATTACAACGTTTGATATTGTGGGGTTATATACAAAAGCCTTTAATCGGACAACAACTTTAGAAAAGGCTATAAGTGGATTTAAAGCGGCAGGTATATGCCCAATGGATAAAGAAAAGTTCAAAGCAACTTTTGAAAGTTTTGGTGATATCTCTATAACGCAACAGAATCAAAACAGCCCAAGAGCCTTAACGACAAACGCAGATGAATCCCGTAACGAATCTCGAAATTCCATTTCAAATAGAGAGCCACTGGAACAATATAACATTTCTTTGCCAATAGATGAACCTCAAGGTACACTGGAGAGCATTGTTGAGCTGTTTGATGTCGTCGGCCAAAATTTCGAGCATAACGACATTTCCATGAATGAAGTCGTTTCTGAAATTGATCAAGCAGTACACCAAAACATTGTTGAAGAAAATGAACAAAACACCAACCATTGTGACAATACTCAAGCTGTACATTCTATTCAGCGATCAGAAACACAAATAGGACCTTTGACCAATATTGTAAATATTCCTACAATGCTGACTTTTGGAAATAAAAATAAACGAGTTACTAAGAAAAAACATTCAATCATTTTGACAAGCACACCAGAAAAACAAGAGCTGGTAAAGAAGCAACAAAAGAAAATTGAGAAGAAAACAATGTTTGAAAAAAATAATTCGAATACAGAAAACAAAAGAAGTAAGACTGAAACACAGAAAAATAAGAGAAATGTAAACAAAGGGGTTAAGAATCTTAAAGAATTTAGGGAAGTTGAGAAAGAAGAAGAATATTTTTGTTTATTCTGTTCAGAGAAGTACTTTTCACCTCCAGCAGAAGATTGGATAATGTGTATAATGTGTCAAAAGTGGGCACATGAGAATTGTACAGGCGGAAGTACATCTACAGGCTACATCTGTGATTTATGTTCCTATAAGTAATCCGTCCGTAATTTCCCCGTCTGTCCGCAAATACCCCGACTACTGTCCGTATTTACCCTTAGGGCACTGGGTAATTGCGGACAGGAAGGGTTTTGTTTTTGTTAAAAAATAAGTATTTGTTGATTTATTTCTCATAATTAATGATGTTGATCTCGTACGTAAATGTCCAAAGTTTAAGAATAAATACATGAAGACTGATTATTACAGTAACTTTCTCTTTTATTAAGAGTTTTCCTTAACTGTCCGTAATTCCCCCACTCTCCCCTACTGCTGCCACTAATGGGGTGAATTCAGTTGAAATTGTATTTAGTGGAAGCGAAGCTGCAGCACCTTGAATAACGCCGTAAAGTTGTCAGCTTATCAGTATTCTACACGATATATCACGGAGAGTGTGCGATGGAATTGCATGATTTAATTCCGCCTTCCCCTTTCCATCATCAGATATTGTAAGGGTTCGCACGAAACAGCTAACGAGTGGAATTCTCTGCCTGCAGACTTATGCCCCAACTAGGGCCTTTTGAACGCGAGAGTGAATAGGCATTTAATTAGGTGTTCATGCCACATTGTCGACACTTTACTTCATCGTCACTTTCCATCAGGTGAGATGGAGGTGAAATGCACACTTTTTAATTTTTGTAAACAATTTACAGACCACCTCGACGTTAAAGACTATGGAGACGTGGAGATACAAGTATCACCCAAGGAAATGAACGTTAAAATAACCAACATGAGAAATCTGCCTCACGTGTCTGCTTGCACCAGAGCGCTGTCCGAGAAAGTCTCCGAAGTGCTTAATGATGATAGAATCGTCATCACTTTGGGTGGAGACCACTCTATTAGTATAGGTAAGTAACGAAGTCATAAAAAGGTGGCTTTTTTTTATTTATTAGATCAAAATACAGAAAAAAATACTTATTAACTAGTTACAAGCATGCTTCACAAAAGCCCTTGCTGTTTTATCTGCAGCGAAGGAGTTTAGATAAATTGACGAATAAATATAATGCTAAAACAACCAACTTCAAAATTTTGTGGAATTACATCCATTTGCCAAGTTTTATTGAAAACGGTTAACGGAAAGTGGTTGAAATCCAATACATCTAATTTATCCCCTAATATAATATATTTGCTACCCTTAGATGTGGAATATTTTCTTCACATTTAAATGTGACCAATACGTACACTCTTATGTATGAGGTACACTCTTTCCAACAAAAAAAATCATCAAAACCGGCTCACAAATAATAATAATCAGTAATCGCGTAACATAAACACACAAAAAAATACAGTCGAACTGAGAACTTTCTCCTTTTTTTGAAGTCGGTTAAAAAACGACTGGTATACGAGTATCATGTTACACAAAAACTAACTTACCAAATTACGAAAAGACAATAATCAAAGTGCCCATTAGAGCATTTTAAAATGGATACGTACACCTGTAAGCATCGAGTATACAACCAGAACTAAAGACGAAATGTCTTTTAATTTGTTTGAAAACTATTCTGCCATATCATTACGGTGACAACTGCGCTCCGATTGGCCAGCCCGAATTCGAAACAATTGACTGGTGCTATATGGACGATAAGTGAAAAAGTACATAATTTAATATTTAATTACCGATGAAATGTGATTCCGTTTGCTTTGTAATTAGATGTTTTGCTATTTTTCCCACATCACCAAATGGAACAGCCCCCCATAGTTAGAGATATTATCTTTATTACAATAAATACATAATATTTTTGGAATATACGGAGACGTACACACAGGTCAGTTGTTGGCGCTGTACTATTTCCGATTTTTAATTTGTGATTTCAGCGCAAACGAGTGTTGATATTTAAAAGTGATATCACTTATATTTGACTGATGAGTTGCCAGGGATAGATTTGTTTTACGATAGGTTAGATGATATTTTGTTTCTATTTCTGGTTATATACTCGATGCTTGTAAGATATCACATAACTTGCAATATTTATTACATTGAATGTCATCATGTCCCTACTACCATGATATTCATATATTTTTTATGAAATTACTTTAGATACTAGTTTGTGGCAGAGAATTTTTCGTCTGCTAACTTGTTCCTTGGATCAGTCGGGAGAACGATAGCCCGAGTTTGGCGACAAAGTTGCTGGTTGGAGTCCAGCGGGATCGAAGGATTTTTTCTTTTTTTGTTTGTTCTTTGTATCGATAATAATATCAGATGACTTGTTCATGTAATACCTACCAATCTTTATAACCTGAAGCAGCCTGGAGTTTGCTACTTATCGATGTAGGAAAATTCAGGTAAATCTGCTTTCTTCAGGAATACATAATAGAAAAATAAAGACCTAGTTTTTTCATAATGTACCTATTTATAACGTGCACAATCATCGACAGGCTCTGTCGATGGACACTACAAAAAGCACGAAGACATGATTCTTATATGGGTGGACGCACATGCCGACATCAATACCAACAAGACTTCGGAGTCGGGCTCCGTGCATGGCATGCCGGTAGCGTTACTAGTCAAGGAGTTAGCAGACTACTGGCCCTACCTGCCCACTATGGATTGGCAGATTCCTAAGTAAGAAACTTTGTTCATATTTTTATATCTTGCTTTACTGGGGAAAAACAATTCTTGAAGATTGAAGAAACCTTTATAAGTACTACTTACATTTTAAAGTTAACGAAAGTATTCGAGATACGAAAGCGCATTCTTCATGATATTTTCAGATTGTTGATAACTTATTGGCGTAGGTACCTATAGTTTGTCTTTTTCGAAGACGGAGTAAAATGACATTTGTAGGATTACCTGTTTTCATATAATTTTAAACAGTGTTGTACAAGTTGGCGATAGTTTTATCGATAGATTGTGAAAGGAGATTAAATTTTGCCAAAAATAACTGAATTGTGACTGTTACGACGTTCTAAATTTACAAATTGAGTTATAGCCTTCTTTTGACAGTTAATCTTCTATGGTATCGAGATCAATTTTTATTTAGATACATTTTAACAAGAATAGCCGGATTTTATTTATATTCAATTAAAATTAAATACTTACTTAAAAATATACCTCCTCTTTGTATTTTTTATAAACACAGTTCTAAATACTGTGTATGTGTGTATGAACTTACAAAAATTGACAATTTAAATGAACTTGTGCTCAGTGATTGGATGAATAGGTCGAGGATGATTGAAATGAAATAAATTCGGCTATTTATTCTATAAGCGTGACCAATATACAATCGATACCATATGTATCGAGTGCAATCATTTGCTGCTCCCAAGCGGGCAACACTTTTGCGCAATAAACTGTAATTTTACACCGTCTTCAAAAAAGACAGGCCTTAGTTTACCTAATAAAAATAATAAGACAAGTATGGTAACTACATACAAACGCAGCAGTGCGACTTGTATGTGCACACTCGCCACGCGCCGTGTATGTACTGATCCCACACATAGTCACACGCGCCATTCGGTATAGAATTCAAGCGTTCGCTCGATGTTTAATAAACAATTAGATCAATTATTAGAATTATTTATTGTTGTTTGAACAAGAGCCCATCAAATTCAGAAAAGTTCAATTTCTATTTCATAATCATACTACCATAATCGAGATACCAATCCGCGATATCTACTGGTATACTAATATCAATACGTAAATATAATACCAAGGAAGCGACACGCCTATCCAACTGCAGTGTCACTGGGGGCTTTACTTCGCAAAAGTCTTAGGGGCACTGCCATTGCGCCCATCACCCTTAGATATAAGTTGATAAGTCCGATGTGCCTGTAATTTCACCGACACCCTTACCCTTTCAAACCGGAATGCAGTAATGCTCACATTACTGCTATGGCGGAAAAAATAGGTAAGGTGGCCGTACTTTCCTGGACGAACTCTCACAAGGAGCTCTACTGCTACTAAAGTTGTTTCAATATAGTATATGAATAGGTTGAATTGAGCAAGTGCTGGCAACATAATTTATTTCAAAGTAATTATGTTTACAACCTGTAAATTCAACTAAAGCAATAATGTGACTTACTTACGCTCTTAGCGAAGTAGTGGGCATTCAAACGCCGAACAGGCGGGATCTACGCTATTTGTCTTATCTACTATACTCATTTTTTTATCATACCTTGTTTTATTGAATTATTGCAGATTTTCAATAAAGAACTTGGGTTACGTGGGACTACGTTCAGTAGATAAATACGAAAGATTGGCTATCGAAAAGTATAACGTTCCCGCTTTCGCTATGGAAGACGTTGAAAAGTAAGTAACTCTTGGTCTTCATTTTCAAGTACGTGCTACACTTTTGGACCTTGCTTTTGCGTGATATTAACGAGACTCCCATTCAAATGTCACTGACAGATACATGTAGGTCTCTCAGAGGCAATTAGATCAGTATAGAGGCTTTTCCGGATCCAATCCGACTGCCCTAGTCCACTTCATGCAGGAATTGAAGTCAGATGGGACGGTATCATCATCATAAAAATTAGGGGACACTCACAGTGGATTTTACAGAAAGCAGTGAGCGTAGGACGACATGGCACCACGATCTGTTCCGTACGTACATACGTACTACCCAGTAGCTCTTTTTGCTGACACCGTACTCTCCCTACACCGCGACATATAACGGTGCAGTTCATCCCTGCAAACCAAGACTAGCCTTTTTATATCCTAGGTATATAAGCTTGTTTACTATAATTTTGCAAATAAACGAACTCCGACCCGGAGCTGTTCATGCGGCTGTTAAGCACCCCTTAAAGTCTCAAAAGGGTTTCTCTAAATATTCTCTAATACGATTTTTGTAAACCTTGATTTCAGACATGGAATAGCAGGATCCCTGAATCACATTCTGCAAAAATTAGACCCTAAAGGCGAGAAGCCTATACACTTGAGCTTTGATATCGACTCTCTCGACGCTTTGGAAGCCCCTAGCACTGGCACTGCAGGTCCTTATGTATACCTAGTACCTACTACTATTTATTACCCCACACAATTTTACTCCTTGAAATAAACCTGGAAGGCACACCGGGCACTTTGCCACATAACTTGAAAAGTGGTTCTGGGCTTAGGAAGTTGAAATACACACGGTTTCGCAAATATAGTGGATTTAATGTTCCTGTGACTTCAGACCAGCTTTTAAGTTACACAATAACGGGGTTATGCTGCGTTAAAGGAACTCGACTCTCGGCAGTCACAAGCGCCGATTCTCGAGCCATCGAGCCAATTCCCGCGTCACACTAAGGCCGATATTTTAAAAAACGAACTTAGGATTCGACTAAGCAAAAATGTCCAGCTAAGCATGAGCTAAGCAAGTTTGTCGTATTTACGAAACGAACTTTGCCTTAGTTCAATCAGGAAATTACGTACCTAATAAACTCAGTTTAGTTCAAGTTCGTTTTGTAAAAACAAAAAAATTGTTTAGCCCGCCATTTTTGCTTAATTGAAGTCAAAGTTCATTTTATAAACCTCAGCCTAAATTGATTAAAATTAGATTCTAACTTTGATATTAATTTAATAGAAATAGAAACCATTAATTTGTCAAATATCGAATGTGAGACATGATCCCTTCAAGTCATTGAAAACGTCTTAATAACTATAATTTATACCCAATCACTATTTATTTTTGAATGAGAATATTTACCACTACAATCATTACATTACCCATTCTTGCGAATAATTGTTTGGATTGTTTGCAGTTAGAGGCGGACTGACTCTGCGCGAAGGAATAAACCTCATGGAGATGATCTACTCAACCGGTCGGCTTAGAGCTATAGATCTTGTCGAAATCAATCCAGCCATTGGCACAGAATCTGATAGGAGAAGAACAATCGAAGCTGGTATTGTAATACTTAAAGCAGCTTTAGGGGCGCATAGGAGAGGCACTGCCCCACGCGACGTTCTTGACTTACCGCTGCAAACTAAGAAGAAGCATGAGGAGGCGAAGGATAGAAAGCATTAGGCATTTAGTTTGGGATATTTTGCCTCCACGCAATGATCACAAAAACTCGTCAAATACAAACGACCTATAATATTTGTAAAATATGCGGGTGGGTTTTTAGTGCAGTCCTGTCAAATTCTACTTCGATATTTGTAATAAAACACAATGTTTTGCTGAAATACCCAAACACAGCATAAAGATAGCGATGCAGCGCTAATCGTCTATCTGTGCGCTCGCGCGCGATTTTAAGCAGCGATGCAAACGTGATGCATGCGCACGACTGCATCGATAAAAACGCGCGATTGCATCGCAACACTTGGGATTTATAGGCGATGTATCGACACCGTCGCGCGTTTGCATCACTGACAAGTCGCCGTGTGTGACCACTCTTAAATCTTGTATTTCGTCAACATCATCGCCTACATAGTAATTGTATGTGTGAAATGTAAGCATTATTTCAATTAATCAGTATTCCCATTATCTGAGTGTTACTTGAAGTCATCATGTAACATCTCATCATGTATTCAAATTTGTTGTAATAAAAGAACAGTTTTAAAATGTGTTTTTTCTATTCTATAAAATTTACCTTACAAGTTTACGTTAGGAAATATAAATGCGCTAAGATCTTATCGCTACTAAAATCTAAATGTTCTAAGTCGAGTATACATACGTAGGTAGGTACTTAAAAAATAAATTGGCGTAACGTAGTTAATGTAAATTGAACACGACTTTATAGCTTCAATCCGAAATAGTAATTATATTATCTACTCACACGTGTATTTAGTATGTAGAAGATGTATACCATCTTGGTAAGAGAGGTTGTAACTTACTTATTATATTAAACAACTCCATACAGGTTGAATGTAAAAGTTTTGCTGTTGTTCTTAGTATTAAAGGCGTATTACCAAATGTCCTGTTTACACGAGCTAAGTAAATAAATAGTATACATTTCTTGGCATGTTTGATCATTCACGCACCATCTTTGAATTTATGAAAGTTGCCAAGCAATGAACTTAAACTTGTCACTACTGCTTTACTCATATAAACCGGCGATATAAGTAGCAGTTTTTATTATCTTATGACGTGTTTCATGTTTCACAACAAATAAAATTATTACAATTTCAAATTAGACATATAGTAAAAAAACACTTCACAATCACACAGACGTAATAGTTCCGTAAATGCCGCTTGGGAACCTTCTCGATGCCATTATAAGCAAATAGTTAAGGTAGGACATAGTTATGCACATTATACTATACAAACCGCTACATTTTGAAACTGTACGGTACGTACACCGTGTAAGGCAAAATCAGATATTTGGGTCTTAACACAATAGTAATGTTTTAACTTAATTATTGCAATGCACAATTTTACAGATACTTTTGTCGTGTACAATAGCACATGGTCTGCGACCGAGAAATGTCAACTATCGGAGGCAAGATGTTACGACGTTAGAACAAATCCCAGTAGATGTGCAAACTGAAGCACAAACAATCGTTGCCGAGTCAATGGACCTTAAAACAGAAAATAATAAAGCGACAGAGAAAGAAACAGATCATCCAGTAGAAAATACAGAAACTCCAGAAAAAGAAACAGAAACGACAGGGGAATCGCGAGAAACAGAAAACCCAACCGAAAAACCGATGCAACAGCCAATAGCTGCTGTGGAAATAGACAATCAGACCATTTCTCAAAACGTGCAAGAAGTTACGTCCGAACCGCAAAACCTAGAGACGGAAACAGCAGCTCCTGTTGAAATGGAAACAGATTCAGCGATTGCACCTACTGAAGCGGAGCCGGAATTAGACTCTAAACCAACAGAGGAAGCACTGGAAAATGAAGCTGTTGATCAAAAAGAAACAGAACCAGAGCTAAAAGTACAAGATCCAGAAACCGAAGCACAACAAAACGACCCAGAACAGGAACTAAATGATCAAGAAGCCAATATTGAACCAGTAGTTGCACAGAGAGCTCAAGCTAATGACGAGCAAAGTGCACAGCAAGAAATAAATGAATCTAAACCACCTAAACTAGCAGAACTAATAGACCAAAATGATGCCGATATTACAAACAAAGACGTAGACCACACCAACGACAACCAAACCAGTGATAATGAAATAAAAAGCATTGTATCAAAATACTTCAACTCTGTGCCAGATATAAAATCTCAATACATCCTTAATGAAGGGTTGGCTAAATCTATAACACATTATTTCCAAAATAGAGTTGTAGCCTTGCCTTTATTTCACATAAATATGAAAATAGATCGGAACCTTGTAAAAATACCGTGGGAGACTGGACCGCCACAACTAGCTAATAAAAAGGGATCCTATCCATATAGAGTTTTACCTGGTTTTAAAAAATAAGACCCCGAGACTACACAATAAAAAGATTATCGAATTTATAATTTATTTATTTGCTTCCTGTACTTATTCTATTTGACTCGAAATAAATGTTTCTTCAACATTGGTCAGCGCATTAATGACAGCAATAACCATCTAAACACATTTACTTCATGGACCTACTTTATAATATTATTTCTTTTGAGTAAGAATATCTATGTTTATTTCGAAAATACGACAAAATAGTTTGAAAATAGTGATTGCACTTCTTTATTTGAGAGATTTCATACAATAAAAGATTAAAAAATAACCAGTTGAATTGTCCCTAGTTCATAGCAAGAAAACTAAAAAATATGCTAGGTGAGTCTAGAATATTCTAGAAGTTTACTTGAGGTCGATAATGTTTCTGGAACTTGTTGTTCTTCATTGAGAGCTTCATCTGCCATTTGGCTTGTACACGCTTCATGAAGTGAATGTCGCGTGCTTTCCTGAAATTCAAAAAATAATATCGTTAGTTTATAAGTATAGTTCGTGAGATAAATACTTATACCTTAGCCAAATTCGATTTAATGTCAACAAATAAAACATATGACTTTTAGGGTTTTCATCTCAGACTCTTTCACAGTTACCACAATTCACCCGAAATTCAACTAGATTATGGATAATACTAAATCTTGAAGACATGTTTATAATGAATATTATTCAATAGAAATTTCAAATCACCCAAAAATTACATAAAAATGACCAGTAATTAATTATTTGTAAAACTGTCATCCCTAGCATACTAGTGAGTATTTGATTTGAAGGGAGAGATTGCAAACATTCGAGTTCTGGTAATAATTCAAGTTCAGAATCGGAAATAAATGCTGGATGATATAATATGTGGTAAATTAATATCAAATAAAATCTTTTGTTTCTTTTCATCTACCGTTTCCTACCATCTAGCAGTAAATATTAATAGGATGCAAACACTTCTTTTTATTCCTGAATCATATGTATCAATAGGTATTTTGTAAACTTTATAATAATTGGCTAGGTAAGTATTACTTCTACATAACCCAATTACCTACTTAGCTATTTAAATTCCAATTAAGGGAGCAGGCCGTTGGCAGAGCAATCCTTAATAATGAGCATTGAAAACAATGTTCTTTTCCTATGCCATCATTGGATGCCTAGCAATGTTTTAAACCTTCTACTTCGAATTTGGCTAGAGTATAGGTCACTGTCACATTTCTTCTGGCGTGGGGCATTTTTGAACATTGCGTTCCTTCACAAAATGGGAATTCTAACAGCATTATAAAATTTTTTCCTATATAATCTAATCGTAAATACTCACTTAGCGGCAGCTGCCTGCTCTTTGGGCGCCCACCCGAGCGCCCGGTACATGCCAAGTAATCTATGCAACTTGCGATCAGATTTCTTCACCAATGCCTGACTGTTGTGCATTACGTTCTGCTTGTAATATCTGTAATTACAAAAGCAGGATATTAGCAATCGTCGATCGGAAAGAAGGTGGTTATTGCAAAAATGTACGCAATGTATGTAAGTACATTCAATTAATTTGATTGAGTATGTGGGTTGATCGGAAAATTTGCATAAATATAATGATAGTTGTGTATTTTGATATAAATTCGTAATTGATACAAGCTCATCTACTTATTAGTATAATATAATCACGGTGACGTCAAGAAACTTATTAATGAACATTATAATAATATTTATGTAGGTCATACGAAAACCCGAATATAACACTGTTGAAAACTTGAATACACACAAGTGACGGGACGAACAGGTTGTGCGCCTGATGATAAACCACACGCTTGTCCATAACAGTTACAGTGCCACACAGAGCTTAAAATTGCAAAGGTCTGAGGGGCACTACCACTGCGCCCGTCACCCTGAGACACAAGTTGACAACTCCCATGTGCATGTAATTTCACCAGCACCCTTACCCTTCAAAATGCTGACATTACTACTTAGTGGCAGAAATAGGTAAGGTGGTAGTACTACCCTGGACGAACTCTTTCACAAGGAGCTCTGCCGCTACTACATTGCGTACCTTTTCTACATATAAACTTTGTAGCTAAAACCGTTATCATAGTAGCGAATTGAGGGAGCGACAAAATCATAGTGTCAAATAATACTAAGGTATTTTATCGATATACCTTAATATATATAATTATAATGTCAAGCCTAGAATCAGCTACAACCAATTCATGTATTATGTTATTTACTAAATTGTTATTATTTTATTAATGTGTGTTGTATAGTGAGTGTTGTAACAATTAACTAATATACGACTGTGTATTGAATTATTTCAATAAAGTGATAGGTTACATTTGGAATAAAAATAGCAAAGTATACCTCATTAGAGATCTATGTCCGACAATAACGCCTGAAGGTAGCACCAGTTGAAAGTCATCTCCGTCCAGGCTGGCTGGTCCGTCTACTTCTTCATCTACGTCCATTTCTGCCTCGCCTACGTTCTGGTCTGGGTACGAGGAACTGTAAAAAAGTTATTATTAATGTAGTAAATAGTATTTTTTTATATATCGTCGAGGATAGTGCAATTACGCGTAACGGGCATTGGATTATGAGTTTCCTTTTCGGTAATTTAATGGCCAAATCGAATCCGGGTAAATACCGTGCCAACAAGTTATCATGATTTACGGGGATCTGTTGTTAGCAGTCCGTAGACAACATAAATTAATGCTTACTGTGCAAAAATGAAAATTGGAGCCATTGAAATAACAAATTAATAACTTTAAATCCCTCTCCTGTAAAATGTGCTTTAGTGCAAGTACGCCTTTTACCAATACTACACACGCGAATTTGCTCTATCCCCGACGACATATTATTATATGAAAAAAAATTAAACTTTTTCGAATCATTTCACCAACGAAACTCAATAACTTTTGTTTTACGTCTTTTAAGCGCAAGATAATATGGTGGACGTCACTAGAAGACATTAAGATGGATTGGTAGTGATTAGTCGGTTTTCTGCATATTATATTATATAAAGTCAAAAGAATAATGGAAGTATATAAATGTATAAGAGAGTGTTCGACATAAGGCATAACATAATTACTACCTGTAGTCATAATAATCAGCATACTCTGCCAATGCTAGTCCCTCATGCAGCATTTTGCAATGTCCCTTATCAATCATGTGAGCACGAGCTGCCTCCATAGAGTAGAAAGTCCGCCCAGTATCATTGCACCATAGGCACATGTAGCCTTGAGAGATCTGAAATTAATGTCTTTTATATTGTTTATAGAAAACTATAAGGCTTAAGCTGTAATAGCCTACCCAAAAAATTAGAAAACAATACACGTAAGACACAAAGAAGACAGAAGAAGAAAAAATTAAGAAAGTCGCAAGTAACGCCGCAGGCTGTAGCTAAGACAAAGACGGAGTTATGTAAGCTGGTGAAATTACAGGCACATGGGACTTGTCAACTTTGCTTATGGGTGACGGGCGCAGTGGTAGTGCCCCTCAGATCTTTGCAATTTAAAGTGAGTGGCACTGTTACTGGTATGGACAGGCATTTAGCTTACAATCGGGCGCACAACTTGTTCGTCCCGTTATTTGATATCATAAAAAAAGTGGAGGCCTACAACAAATCAGGTGAATAGACTAAATTGATAACAATATTATAAAAATTGAGCCATTAAATGTGAAAACTTAACGAGTCCTTAGGTTTTCACGATTGTTACAGATAGGAAATGAAACTATATTTATATTTTTTAAACAAACCAAAGTATCTTGCTATGATTTAGTCAGCCATGACCATGGGACCTTAAAGGGCTCGAAACCTTAGTTTATTTGATTCAAAAAAATGGTATTATTTCCTATTAAAAAATAATTTAATATGAAATGACAAAAAAGAAATTAGTTTTATCTGAGTAAATAGCTTATACATGGAAGTTTTCCAATAAAACTCTTAAAGAAAATTAAAAGATTTTAAAGAATTTATATAATATATGACATACTTCTGTGGAATAAATGTAATGTAAATGTAAATAAAAGGAACTTTAGGTACAAAGATCAGTAACACAATTTTCAAAGTATCTTTGTTCACATTGTTAATATCTAAATTACTGATAAAGAAAATACGTAGTTAAGATGTTTTCGAAAATATTTGTTCAACTGGATAAGACCACTTGGTAGTCATTATTGAACAATAATAATAGCTTAGGCCTTAAGACAGAGTAAAAATGTTTTTATTGAAAAATGTAGAGAATTGCTATGAGTCCCAGTATCCTACAAGGTAATCTTTACTTATTATTAAGCACATAAATTGTGAGCTGCCTAACATATAAATAAACATCACTTGTTTAAATAACAAAACACACATTTAAATAAAGTATACACCTGATAATATATAGATGTCTTCATTTGATCATCAACAATAAGGAGTTTTTAGTTAGTACACCAGGCAAGGCACATCTTATAGACAGGAAAAGCTTACCGATGGCAACACTCGTTCTCATTGTATTACTTGAGATTATGCTAATTTCAATTGCTATTTTTAACATAATATGCATTCTGTGCAATATCATGACTTCAAGATGCAATATAATGTTATTTGAATAGATAACATTACTGATTGGAAGGATATAGAGTTGCACAGTCTTTGAACAATAACAAGATATCTAATAAAATGGTATCGCAATAATGATTGGATAGTTGGTACAGCCTGTCTTGGTAACCTTTACAGCCCTATTAGCAGGTTAATTAGGTATGATTGGCTGTTATTCTGAATGTGTGGCATATAAACTAATAAAATAGATAAAGCTCAACAAGACTGAACATTACCTTTTCACCCAAATACAGCAAAAGTCCTTTAACATTGACACAGTACTCCACATCCGGTATGAAGAAAGAATGGGCCGTAGACATGTGTTTTAGGTTCTTTACCATATTCTTGCTGTGGTGGCTGCAAAACAGGCAGTCTCTGGGTTTGATCAGTGAATCACTGCCTTTGATTCTGCATTCTTCCCATTCATCCGAGTCCAACTGTAACAAAAACTTTATATTGAATACTACTATAATGTCAGGTTTGTCTTAAATATTGAAACAATATTGCCACTTCAGCAACCTTTTATAGATATGTATGACCAATATACAACCTCCACAAATTTTAGATTTATTTATTGAGTAGGTTTTTTTTACATAAAGGCACTTATGCAATCAAGGTCAAAATCAGTACAAAAAGCAACAAGGAAATTTAAAAAATCTCACTTAGCAAAGAAGACAGCTCCAGTTGATAATTGGCAATTTTTAAGTTTAAACATTGTTCAAATCAAAATAAAAGGAGAATAAAAATAAAATAATTTTTTTTGTTATAGGAAATGAAACTATTTTTCCAGACTTAAATCGCGTATATTTGTTTTTTTCAAACAAACCAACGTTTCGGGACCTTTACAGGTCCCATGGTCACGGTAATATTGTATATGTATATGGTAATATTTTGTTATCCACATACAGAGCACCTATTATAACAATACTGCCCTTGTAACAAAAAAAGGCAACAACTAAGCGTACTTTACACAGCAGTTGTGCCTTTTTTCACTCTGAAGGCAGAATAACTTCAAAAATCTTGTATACAACACTATATGCAGTATTTTCACTCTCTTTTGAAATTTATCAAAATTATTTGAGTAGTGTTTATCCTAAGCGACAAAATATTGTGCAATTAAATGAATAATATTATCAACTGAAAATAATTCCTGAAGTTCTGTTGGCAAAGATTTATAATAGACTGGATTTATAAATTTTACTGGTTTGGATATTATTTAGCTGGGTATTTTAATGCCCATCACTAATCATAGAATAGCCTGAGCAATAAAAAAATACCTCTTCAATTTCCGAATCTGTTTCAACATCTTCCTCAGCAGAATCATTAGCATTGACAATGACAAACTTGCCCGGTCTGCTGTCGCCATGCGCTCCACCAGCCTCAACTTTCACATAACTGTCTGTGTCCGATTGACTATGTTCTTCGTCTTTGTTCTCTTTCTCAGTCACCACATACTCGGCCTCCGCCAGTTTGTGCTTCTTACTGTTCAAATGATTACTGTACGCGTTTTTACTATTGAACATTTTTGAACAGTACTTGCAGTACTGTGAATCATCTTGGTTACTTTCTTGAGCCATCTCTCTATGCTCTTTAGCGCGGGCTTCGAACTCCTCTAAAGTCACAGGAGGTATATTAGCAACCTTCCTCTTCAAATTATACCTATGCCAGTCCAACTTGTAATGTTCACGCTGCAATTCAGGAGTTTTAAACAACACCTGGCAGGTAATACAAGTATATGAATCCGGCATTTTGATAAAACTAAACTTGATACAACTATCACAGCTAAATTGAACACTTGAATGCAGTCTCGATTAAAACCGCAAAGGAAATATGAATGAAATGGAATAATTAATGCAATGTGATGAAAGAAAACAAGGGTGGGGTGTGGAGTGGGACGGGAAACCAATTTGTGGACTTGCGTGTTACGCACTTTAATTTTGGCTGTACAATGCTTGCGCACTACAATTATAGCACTAAAGTACTGTAGTGAATCAGCAATGTTGAAAAAAATCTATTTCCTGCGCAGTAGAAAAATCTTTTTCAGTGATAATGTCAATGTCAATGTCATTGAGTAATTTTTAATTTTATTAATTTATTTGGTTAGGCAGAGATTCCAACATACAGCCTCTTCTACTATAGGATAATTTTCCGAATTTGAAATAGTGTATTACATTTTTCCGAAAAATTATCTGAAAAACTGAAAAATATTGGAAAAGTATAATTCGAAGGCTCATATTATATTCTTCGTTTAAAAATATCTTTCAGTTTTATTTAGCGTGAATTATAAAAAAGAATTGTATAGATAAAAACAAAGTAGGGAAATGCGAGATTTTAAAAAGGGCCCTTTCACTACTTGCAAGGCAGACCGCCGCCGTGAAGGCTCCTGCCTTTACGGGAGACTGCTCACACACTGTCCTGGGTATGGCCCACACACGTAAGTATGGAGTCTCGCAGGACACATTGCACGATTCGTAATCCTGCATTATGCGGTGGACTGTCCCTCTTAAAGGGGCATTCATTTTCCTGCATTGCAGTGCAAGCAATCCTGCAATCCTATAAATCTTTGTTGGAAGTCATATAAGTTTGTGGAATGAAAATTAGGCACTATGTAACTGTAAATGAATCAATTAAATTTTTTTTTTCGACATCTTTCTTTGAACACAAATACGCAACTGACGATACCGTAAAGTCAACATGACACGAGCCTGCGTTATAGACAATTATATGTATATACAAACTCTAATAATCTTGGAATGCGTCGTGCGAAACGTCTTAGGTGGGCCATACGTAGGATGTTGTGTGGGGCAGTCTCCTGCCTGTGCGGCGAGCTCTCATGCTGATAATGAATAGTAGGTCACCTAAAAGTATTAGCTCCATCGTTATCGTTCAGTAACTTCAACCTTTGACAAGTGTCATCGTCAAATGTGGAAAATTAAAGGAAAAATATGCGGAAAAATATTTATTTTTCAGAAAAATATATGATTTTTTCGAAATGGTAAATCTATGGTCTCAACACTTTCTCTGACTGACTTGCAAAAATATATGAAGAGGCTGTATGGTTTGCCCTAAAGAGCCTTTGCCTATCCAATAATATGGGCGCAGTCATTGACTTACAATAGGTCAATGGGCGCAGTTTATTAAATGTTATCCAATTTTATATCATTTCGTAAGAAGCACTATCGAAGACATTTAATTTTTGTAATGGAATCCAAGAAAGCAATTACTCTCAGTCTTGGCTGTATGGCGCATTAGTGCTTTGCCTTTTTTAATGGAAAAAACAGTACCAAAAAATTTGAGTGACGTCTAGTTTCGTTTGTGGTGACTTCTCTTGTATTAGTAGTTTGTGGTGACTTCAATGACTTGCGCGTATCAACAAAAACAATCTCACGAGAATCTAAATCAAATGGAAATTATCATCATAAGTAATAGGTTATATAGCTTATTGGCATACTGCTGGACATAAGCCTCCCCCTGTGCACGCCAACACTCCTAGTCTTTTGCCGCCTGCAACCGACCTCTAAACGTAACACAATAATTATTTAAGTAGTTCTCAAAAATGTCAGTGACTCTTCATACTGATGTTGGAGACATAAAAATAGAATTGTTCTGCGAACAGTGCCCAAAGGCGTGTGAAAATTTCTTGGCATTATGTGCTAGTGATTACTACAACGGCTGTCTTTTTCACAGAAACATCAAGGTATAAACGGACTTATTATTATTACTAATTAATAGAACATTCAGACTGTAATAAACATATCAACATTGCTGGTCAAACTATAGCGACTTAGAAGCGTTATTATTCTAAGTATAGCGAAAATAAAATGGCTCGGAATAAACTTAATCTGAAGAAGCAACTGAAATAAATGATGTACCCAAGCTGAGTGGATAGATATTGTAAACAATTCTCAAAAAATACTTATTACTATATTATATTATACTATATATGTATATATATATATATACACAAACTAATTATTATGTTACCAACTTTTTAGGGTTTCATTGTTCAAACAGGGGACCCAACCGGTACAGGCAAAGGAGGAACATCAATGTGGGGAAAAAAGTTTGAAGACGAATTCAAAGAAGAACTGAAGGTAATTTTCAAAACTGCCTCCTTTCTGTGTCACCATAAACAAATGTTGTGACACAGGAATAATAAAAATCGAAGTGAATTTTTTCTAAGTGTTCGATCTTTGTTTAATAATTATAACAAACTAGTGTAGTAATGTCACGAAAGGCATTCAATAAAACTTTACTACAGGAATAAGTTTTTTCCGGTTTGTACAGTACACACCTTTTTGATTTTATTGTCATATTGACTTCAGTTTCAGTGACTACAATTGAGTAAATCACAATATTATGTGCAACTAGATAGACACTAGTGTGGTGTTCCTCATGATTGAAAATGGAGGATACTGAAATAAGATTATCCCTGTGTGAAAAACACCCTTACAACTATAAGACTGGAGTGGACTAAATCTACTTTTTTAAAATTAGGACTGCCTGAATCATGACTTTTTGCCTTACTAGACAAAATTTAAATAGTCATTGGTGATGCTGGAATAGGCATGCAACCGTAGTCTCACCTATTGCAATTGTTTGTTAAAAAATTGAGCATACTTAAGCCAGAATATGTTCACTCACTACTCAGCAGCTCAAATGTTATGAAGTTTTTTTCTGTAAGTAAGTCTACAATTTTCAATGCAATGTTCATTCCAGCATAATGCAAGAGGTATGGTGAGCATGGCCAATAACGGGCCAAACACAAATGGAAGCCAATTCTTTTTTACATATGGGGAACAGCCACATCTTGATCTTAAATATACTTTATTTGGAAGGTGAGTTTAATTCTTTCAATTATAGTCAGACTAAACTCTAAACTCTAAACTCCCTTTGGGAGTATAAATCTGATTTTCTTAAAAGAGAAGTATATTACCCCTACAAATTTTCCAATAACTAATCAACATCACCCACATACCTACAGGTTTTCCTGTAAAATATGAAGAATTACTGAATATGAATGAATTTTCATTACAGAATAATTGATGGATTTGAGGCTCTTGATGATTTGGAGAAGATGCCTGTGAACCCTAAAACTTTCAGGCCACTAAATGAAGCAAGAATAACTTCAGTAACCATACATGCTAATCCATTAGCCGGTTGAACAACAATTAAGTTCACATGAAGCAATTATAGACTATAACAAACTGTAATTGAAATAAATATTTGTATTCAAGATTTCACTGGTAATTTTTTATTGCTCATAGTTAAAGTCCACAGACAATAGATGAATATTTCTTACAAACTATTATATTAATATTGATCACAATAATTTTTTTTTAAGTTTAATAAATTACCTAATTAAATAAATATTTAAAAGACAATTGCCTATGTATTTGGTTTGTTATTTTAAAATTATTACAACATGAACAAATAATTAACGTTAAAAATTCAAACAGATACAATGATAAATAAGTGCTTGATACCTTGATAGTAATTGCAAAGTTTAGTTATAGTCATTGAGAATAGGCCTAATCTTTTTAAAGGACATTCACTTCTACAATCTTACCATAATGGCCAAACATTACACATAGTATAATACAAACTAATTTTTGTGATAGCATGTGGTAAAAGATGCATTTTCCCAGTCTATTTCTAAATGTATCCACCGTAATTGATATACAAGGAGTTTTCTACATTCTACTTTAAGATTAATATATGTATTTTATACCCCATGTAATGATGTTAAATTATGTTGTACCATTAAAAAAAGGTCAAATTATTGCAATCCCTGTGGCACTGTGCAGATGTCGCTAGCTGGAACTTCATTGGACACACTGACAGCAGGAGTGTACTTGAAAAAGAAGCCACTACACTATTACAAATAATTTTGCAATTTGACCTACGGGAAACACTGATTTTGCACACAATGTGTGCTTAAGACTGGTTGTATATGTATATAGGTTTAGATAAGCTGCATAACGTAATTATTACAAACATAACCATCAGACTTATCAGGAGCCATTTCTTAAATCTATATAAACTATTTTCTAGTATAGTCTCTAGATATTCAGTCACTAAAAATAACATTAGGTACCATATTTTAACAAGATAATCACATGTGCTTAATATAATTTTACATAACCATTGAAACTAAAGTGAATAATCAAGTTATGTATACAGAAATAATATAAGCGTATAATTTGTCTTAATTTATAATAAGTACCTACAACTTTTAAGTGTAACTTTTAATGTGGAATTACGGTGCCACTAAGAGAAAACTACGAACACATTAAAAACTTTTCTTAAGCTCACGTCTCTAAATCATAGAAATTGTCGTCCATAGCATAATCTGGCTGTTCCTCTTCCTTCTTGATTTCAGTTTCAGAAACCTTTTCTTCAAAGCTATCAGCAAAATGTGATTTAATATGTGCTACTAATTCTGCTTTCTTTTCATATGTGGCACCACATTCTATGCAAGGCATGTTCACAACCAAGCATTCATGAGATTGCTCATGCTTATTTAGTTTATCTTTTGTGTTAAACTTTTTATCACATTGATTGCAAGAGAATGGTTTCATTCCCGAGTGTAGAGTAGCATGTCGATCCAATTCCCTTTTACGGGGAAATTTCTTGAAGCATACCTTACATTGAAAGCTGGATTGAAATACTCTTGATCCAATATGTGCAATTGAAACATGCGTTTTGTAAGCATCTAGTGATGAGAACCGTTTAGGACATTGATGACACTTTATATTTTTTGGTTTGTTTTTGTTAGATGCAGCCTTGTTCTGTTTTGGTGGTGAATTTTGGACTTGTTTGCTGGAAGTGGACGGATTCTTTCTGATTTGATTACTGAAGCTACTTTCCCCAGCTATATGGTCTGGGACTCTCGGTAGATCATAATCAGTATTCGAAGTTTCTCCTGTGGGTGATGTGATGAGATTGCTATACGGGTTCACATTAACAATCATATCACCTGCATCCTGGTCATCATAAAAATCAGTCTTCTGTTCAGGGCTGATGGGTCCATGACGCATTTCATGCTTGAGGAGCTTGTCTCTTCGACCAAAAGTCAAAGGGCATTTTCTACATGCATAAGGTTTCATACCAGAATGAACCAGTACATGTCGCTGTAAATCAGCTTTTGCTACAAAACTTCTGGGACAAAGAGGACAAACATGGGGTTTATGTCCAGCATGGATGCGAAGATGTTTACTTAAATTAGTATTACGGGAAAAGCTTTTTAGACAGTAATGGCACTGGTAAGGTCTTATTCCGGTGTGAACAATTGAATGTTTTCTCAAATCAGATCGCCGACCAAAGCATTTGTCACACTCTGTACACTGATAAGGTTTATCATTGCCATGCACTAACTTTGCATGTTGGACAAACTGTGTGCGTTCTGCAAAAACTATGCTACATTCAAAACATCTATATGGGAGGTTGGGATCATGATATGCTTGCTCGTGTTCTTTGCACTTTTCTGGAGATACAAAAGCTTTGTCACAGAACTGACACATGGACACATTTTTAAAGAAATTGTCTTGCATGTCTGGTGTATTCCTTTCGGCAGTTTCTTGATCAACTTGTTCTGTTGTGTCAGAGTCTTCAGACGAATCATAGTCAAGGCTAGGATCAACTACCATCACCACACTGTCTTCCACTATGTAGTTTTCAGGCTTAGGTTTTACTAATTCTTGGTTATAGTTACTCAGCTCAGATGAATTGGAGTTGTCAAGTTCGTTAACTCTGTTGGAAATCTGTCTTAGTCTAGCCTCACTTTGAATACACTGCATTCTGAATTTTGCACATTTATCCAGTTTGAACAAGCACTTGTAACAAATATTTCCTGGCAGTCCATCATTTGAATCCATCTGTGAACATGTAGGATAATTGGTTAATTACGAGTTAATTAGTGAAATAAAGGAATATCTCTTAATGCAAACGCAAATATCATAACGTAAAAGGAATCAAGTAAGCCTTACCTGAAGTTCGAAACATTCCGCAATTTTAGAGGTTAGTGAAACACTGGTATTATCGTCGTCAGGAGCTGACCCATATAGCGATATCATGAGCGTACTCTTACTTAAGCACAGTCGACACAGCGTGTGAAAATTGGCTATAATAAAAGAGTCTTCCATTTTGTATCCAATCTATTACTGAGCCATAGAAACGTCCTTAGAAGTCGAACTACGCTGGGAAATCCCAAATGGATTGACAGTTGCCGTATTCTTATTTTAAAAACACTCTAGAATGACACATTTTATGAAATTTGATGGGGCTCGAAAGGAAAGGCCCAGCGAAGTGACTACGCAACAGTTCGATCCGTCCGGAGAGCGAACTGGGGCGATGTCCGCTAGGGCTGCGCTAGTGGAATGTACCGTCTCCGCTCCGCCAGCGCGCCTGCCTCCACCTCAGTCAAGTAACAACACAATATTTTCTTTATTGCAAATTTTTTTATCACTATTTCTCGCGTTGATTATATATTAAAAATCAAATCAACAATATATTTGCAATTTGTGCCACTTCCACTTGTAATATTAATTTAAATTTGAAAGATTCCCTTCAAAATCGCGCTATTTTCGCTGAAAAAGTTAACTGTTTAACAATGCACGACATTTTTATCTATGATTGGTTGAAGGACCTCTACGGTATTACATTATCCAATCACAGCTAAATATCCAAATGCTAGAAACATGCTCAATAATGTTGCCATATAACATATTGTTGCCATATTATTCGTAATAGTAAAAATATATTTGGAAAAAAAATTAATAAAATAAAAAATATAGGTCAAGTTAATTTTTATTGAATAAAATAAAAAATAATACAGTCTACATAGGTATAGGTAGGAGATAGATCTTCTATGTTAACCAAAGAATTATTTGACACTTATAACCAACGTCATGATTCTTGAAGAAATTAAAGGAAAAATAAAATTACTACCTATTTCTAACTGCATACTTTTCTGTCTGTAAATAAATTTATTCACAGTTGGTTACATGTCTAGAGTCAGTGCAGGCTTTGGATTCGTTATCGAATGAAAGTCCAGCATCACAGCTGAGCAGTCTGGGGTAACCTCGTTGGCAGGCTATGTACTCCTTGCATCTTGTCCCGTATCTGTGGAGAAAAATTAGCGTTTAATAAAAAAACATTGCCACCCACTGGTACGTGAGTTCTAGTAAGTTTTTGTTGAAGCTTATTCTCACACTGAAGTTTGTATGACATTATTTAAGTTTAAACATAGGTAGGCAATAGGCATTATACTAATTATATTATACTAATTAGGCATTATACCTGTATTTAGTGATCGTATCGTCTAGTTGCCCATGCTCGTTCAATTCCGGTACTGGGCAAGAGAAACCTTGGAAGACTGAAAACAGAAGATTAAGATTAATTACTCTATTCTGCTTGCGATACAAACCTTGTAAAGTATCAAATTCGACGTGCTTTTGATTATACTCGCTTGGTTTACACACATTTAAGGGCCTTCAAAGTAGACGCACAGAAAAGCGCTGCAGTAGCGCCATTGTCACAATTAATTAACTAAATTCTGTTTGAAACGCTATAGACGTGCGGCTGCCGTGGCACAGTCGCGCCATCGCCACTGTAGTACATCTACAAGCGTCTAATTTGAAGGCGCCTTAAGCCGATTCATGAACATAACCGAAGTTGTCAGTTTAAAATGTTATGTAAGTACCTACCGACATAACTGGACGCATAGTTTCTGGTTAACTAGGTAATTATGAATCTATTAACAAATTTAGTGTGGCGTCTCTACGCACCGTGAACGAGCCGTCGTGAAACGCGCGTCGTCTGGGTGTAAAAATATACAGTGTGCCATGACTCTAATAGAATCTAATAGCTGCTTGAATAAATAGATATAAATACATTGCTACTTTATCTTCAAACACTACAGTGTTACATACCGGTAGGATTACAAGAAGGAACATTTTCAAGCCAATCGCAGCTGCTCAGTTTGTCGTTGAATACCAGGCCATCGGGGCAATGCATAATTTGCGATTGCCCTTTCTTGCACATTAAGTATCTACTGCAGTCACCATCTTGTAAACCGAAGTAGCCATCACTGAGTGGACATCCATGGGCGGGGTCTACTTTTTCTGGAACTTAATATTCAACTTACTAGTTAAAGAGTCACAATACTAATTTTATCGACACAGAATCGCATTGAGCTGATCAGAAAAACTTTAAGGTAGTGGAATCGATGTTGGACAGTGCTCCAACCATGAATATTTTTGAACTATACCGCCAAACATAAGGAAACGCTAATTATTTCTTCATCAATTTTTTTTTATCATTTTTGATCAAAATGGAAGAGATCAGTTAAATTTTAACAGCTGGCGGCCATCTTTATTCGCCATTATCACGGTGCGAAATAAGACGGTGATTACAAATTTAAAATAAAATGGATTCCTTATAAGGATCCGCGCCTCACGTACGTTTTTTATAATCATATTTGAATGTGGTATCTAAGAGTGTGGTGACTTCTGTGTTTATTGCTGGATCTCATTTAGCTATTTACCAAATCATGGACGTTTTTGTCCACAATCGGATTTTAACATAAAAGAGCTTTACTTGTGTTTACCGTCTTTTTATAGCCAGACTTTTAATTTAGTTTATAGCTTGTTACATTATTTTAAGTCTCCACAGTAATGGAAACTGTGTCCGTCCCTGGTCGTCCGTTACTGGACTTGATTATTTTAGACATGGCTCTGAAGCGTTCATGTTTAGGTGTCCATGATTGGAAACCGTTCATGGCGGGGTATCCATGATTGAAAACCGTCCATGACGGGGTGTCCATAATTGGAAATTGGGCTGTCCATATAAGGATACTCAAACAGCGTCTATTTTTTCTCGAATAACGAAAAATGTTTTCTTTATTAATTGATCTGATTAAAGCACTTTCAATCGTTATTTGAAAACTTTTTAATCAATTAAACCTATCCTCTAGTTCCACAGGATAACTCATCCAAAATTAAAAGACTAAAACAAAAAATAAATCCTTAAACCGTCCATGATTGGTTCCACTACTTTATGTCTTTGTAAATAACTTTATGTCATGTGTGGAAAAGAGGCGCAATGTCTAACGATTTAAGAAGCTCTTTCTGAACTGATTCCGTATTAAAAAGTGTGGTGACTACCTTAACTTAATTTTCTTGTTAGTTATGCTTAAAGTATAACTTCTTTGTACATACATCTTTTATAGGTAGGTTACCAAGTAAATGACCTATGCGTGCTCTTTTTCTAATATGTACGTAGACAACCTATTGTGGTGCACCCACTGCCCGTAAAACGCGCGTAAAGTCAAACGCGCAGAAGCGCCCGGCGCGAGCCGCTTCGGGACACGGGCCGTGCGGAGCTGCCTTTCGACAATCTATTTATTAGATGGCCATAGGTTGTTTAAGTAAGTCCTCTGTTATGTCCATTTGATTTTCTTTGGCAAATTATTTCCTTGGAATTAAATCAGCAGTGGACGTCTTCCGGCTGATATTGATGATGAATTCAATCACAAAAATCGGACACTAAAATGTTTCACCTTTATAATCTTTGAAAGCTTTGTACCGATTTAAGGGTTATTTTTACCTCTAAAATCCTCAGACATAGTAATTAGTCATTTTTTTGAAGTGCCCTTGGATTACCTTGTAAAGAGTGAAATCGGGCAATATTTTTTTCTTAATCTTTGTTTACAAAATGGTTTTACAAGAAGCGTGTGTATTTTGTTAATATCGTGTTCCTGAGCATTAAAAAGGTCCAATTTGAGTTAAACAGCTCCTCAATAAGGCTACAAGATTGTATATTATTTTAGCAAAGGACTTACGTTTACCGCATTTTGCTACTGACGGAGAAGCGCAAGGGTAGTCTGGATATCTTGCATCAATGTTAAAGTGGAGACCATCAGGACACTTCCAACCATACGCGACGTATTTCTGAAAAAATGATCATCACGCATGTGTATTAGATCCTGGTAATAAATATGAAGTTTTCTGATGATTTAGGTAACTCAGAGTCGTATTCCAGAACTCTACTCAATGCTCAAGTTAGGATTTGAGCAGACTTGAGTATGATTTCAAACACTGGAAATACGACCCTAATGGCAAGGACTTGAGTATGATTTTCAGTGCTCACTGCAATACTCAAATCCTGGCTTGAGTATTGAGTAGAGTTCTAGAATACGACTCTCAGATATGCTATGAAACTGTTAAAAAAGTCTCACCTTACACTCGATGTAAGATCCACAATCACGATTGATAGTATAGTACCTATTCTCTTCAGCACAGATATAATTAGGAACAATCACAGGCACCACTTCCGGTACTAAGGGTGGAGTTGGTTTAACTGGTTTTGGCGTCGGAAGGAATGGGGTAGTTCCTGCTGTATTAGATGTTGAGTGTGGAACATATGGAGTTGAGGCGGTTGTGTATGGGAATGGATCTATAATGGGTTTTGGGGGAGGAGTTGGCCTTGGTGGTAGTAGAGTGGGTCTCTGGGTGGGTTGCGGTCCACATCTCACTTCTGAAGCATCATTGCAAGGATATTTAGGCCACTTCACCTCAGGATCGAAAAGCAGATTATCAGGACATGAAAATTTCATTGCTGAAAATTGCTGAAAAAAATTATTTCAACTGTTAATAAAACATTCACATTCTTCTTTATTTTTATCGTATGTGTCTATCGAAGTAAATGTACCTTTTTACATTTATAAAGATAGGAATCAAGTAGTTAACAACTTAGATTTATTATAATATTATTAATTAATTTCTTGTTGTTCTACTGCTTTTTATTCGCACTATTAATTTTGATTTCCGTATGTTTCTATTCTAATCCATTTATAGTATTATTAATAATACTTATTGTTTTGTGTGACGAGCAAGATAATATACGTTTATCTCAAGTATTTTCAACTATTGATACTTTTTGTTTTAGCAACATTTCTACCTTCGTTGTTCAAAGACTTTAGTAGACTAACTTTAGGTAGTAGGTACCTAACTGGTCACTTACCTTACATTCTATGAAACTTTTGCATAGATCTTCAATAGCATAATAATTATTCTCATCGGGGCATTTGTAATGAGGCAACGGTTGTGGCACATCGATAGGCGGAGACGGTGTTGTCGTAGTTTCAATTTTGCACACCACAGTTGCAGGGTCTGCGCACGGGTATTCTTGCCATTTTGCTTCAGGATTGAAATACAGACCATCTGGGCAAATAAATTCCATCGCCTCACGTTTCTGAAAATATTTAGTAGATTAATACCTGATTATTTTTTAACAACGTCAAATAAGTTTATTATATGCAGGATAGTTAAAAGCATTAATTACTTTGCATTCAATAAAATGATCGCATTGGTTAATAACACGATAGTAATTGTACTCATCAGCGCAAACATAGTCTTTCAAGTAAGGATTCTTGAAGTAGATCGGATATTTGTATGAAAGCAATTGATCATGATCTCCGAAAGCACGTGTTGGCTGAGGCTGTAGTTCGGGATTTGGTTTCCGGACATTTGTCGACCCAATGGGTGCAGAATCGTTTTGTGGCCGTAGCGGGTCATCAACCTCAAGAGGTTTCAGGGCTGGAGCGGATTTATAAGGAATGTCTGAAGTCACAGGTTCAGCAGCTGGAAAAACATTATAAGCTATAGGTAGTTTTTCAGAATATTCCATCGATGGGCTTCTAGAGTCAAGATTTTGGATCATAATTTGTTGCAGTGAAGGTTTTGACACTCCATGTTTTGTCTGTATTGCTCGTCTTTCAGAAAATATGGCAGTAATATCTCTTTGTTCTTCGACATTAGAATATTTTGTTAATAATACTGCGTTCACTGTTAAACAAAATGAATAAAACAAGTTGAAAGTTCTCACAGTACTTATGCGTATAAAATCTGGAAACAATTAAGTTAGTTCTCGTTAAGTTTAAGAATATTCCTTACCATTGACCACAAAGGGTAGAAAAAACACTAAAAGTTTAAGCCGCATAGCCACTATCAATATAGACAGTTTAATTTGAATCACAACTCGGAACTGTTACTTTTGCTTTGAATTTCCTCCTTATATTCTAGAGTTTATCAATATTTTCTAATGAGATCACCATATTGATAATATTGGTCGTTAGTAGGTAAGTAATTAATAACAGTTTTGTGGCTTACCGTCTTAATTTACTATTACCACCCTATCGTTATCATAAAATATTTTTAAGATAGCAATTAATAATAATTCTTTTTTTTATGTTACCAAGTGACGGGACGAACAAGTGTTTCCCTGGGTGAACTTTACTGCTACTCGATTGAGCATACACCTTGTCATTATTTCACGCGATTTTAATTTTGGTTCAGACCAGTGTTTTACAAATATTGTTCTGCCTTGGCCCGATTATTTTCATCGCCTATTAATTGCGAAGTATGGAGCGGCTGCTTATTTTTTACTAAAGAATCCAAGTTCGCGGAAAATGACGAAAGTTTTATCCTGAGGTCTGACGGTTCCACTTCAACAAGGCGGGAATGTTGTGACCCGGTAATTTATTATGATGGCCCGGTACCTGGTCGCGACCCACCAAAAGGGAAACGCTGCCTTAGACAATGTTCTATAGCCAATTTTGATGAAGGAATTTATGAGCCGATTGAAATTTTGTTCAAATTATAATTTTCTCAAAATTGTTGATACTATTTATTACTTAGAATTAACGCTTTAATAATGAATAGGATATTAAAGTGAAAAACTTCTTTCAATTTCTTGATTGAAGTTTGAACTTTCGAAGTTTTTTTTCTTAATGTCTCTAACCTTTCTTTAACATCCGCGTGTAATTAAATTTTTAGTAATCATTCAATTACTAAGTTAAAATATAAATATTATTATTTCTGAAGTGTTCTTTGTTAAAATCAGTTCAGGAAATGGATTCATAGTATTACGACGTGCAGACCCTTCTAATAGATACCTTAATATTATTATACCAGCTTTGCTTTTATTAAACATTTTTACCGATGCACGATAACCTTATCCGAATAATGGTAAGCAAAACTTAAACAAACCGATTGCTGCAGACTTCATTTCCAGAAGCACAATATGCTAACGCTACCCTTAGGCTCATATCTAATTTGTACGTTACACAATTGGCCGTAAAGTTCATTATCATATTGTACATAACAATATTGTTACAAAAATTTGCTTCCATTTCATTGCGCCACAATATAAATTGAGCCTTAATCTTTGAGATTTGTAAATTTGTTCGTTAAAATCAAGATTTCTTTAAGGGTCGATATCCCATCGAAATATGGATTACGACATAAAAATAGATCTTCATCTAGATTATAGATTAACTCTTCATTTATGTAGCGCATTCGTCATGTCCACAAAAAATTATAACAAATTGCCTGATATTAAAATAGGAAACAAACGATAAAATATTAAAAACAAAAACTAAAAGATTTATTTTAACAAAATGTTAATATTATACGGAAATGAAAACGTCTTTATTTATTCTCACAAAGGAAACTTGTACTTATATAATACCTGTGGTATTCAGTAACATATGGGAATATGTTACTAAAGACAGTTTTGTTTGTGAAAGTCTGGTGTCCATATTAGGATTAACCTGTGTTATAGAGCACCAGTAGCAGTAGACCTCCTTGTGAAAGAGTTTGTTCAGGGAAGTACTGCCACTTTAACTATTTCTGCCGCCAAGCAGTGGTGTACACACGCTGCTACAGCTGATAATGATGGGCAAAGTGCAGTGAAAGAGACGCGCTGGGCGAAGAAAGAAATCGTTGCGGAACATCCGGTTGGCTGCTGATAGAGACAAATATTGGAAGTTGACGGCCAACGTTCAGGATTATAGAGGCACTCTAAGAAGAAGATGCTGTAGTGTGAGTGTTGCTGCGTTCAGGTTTCGAAGGGCAAGGGTGCTGGTGAAATTACAAGCACATGGAACTTGTCAACTTTTGTCTTAGGGTGTCGGGCGTAGTGGGAGTGACCCTCAGATCTTTGTGATTTAAAGCAGGACAGGCGCAGGCGTGTCGTTTACCATCAGGCGCATGACTTGTATGTCCCGTCACGTAGTTAGGTATTATTAAAAAAACAAAACAGGCTCTCATCCTTCTAGTGCAGACGTAAGAAAAATAGTCATAAGACATAAAGATAGGTGTAGATACTCCATTACTTTAGCAAATGAAGATTTTCAAAACAAAAGCAATAAAGAAAATAAATAGCTGTTGTTAAATTAGCTTTAAATATATTAGAAGACTATTAGTATGTTATGTTGTAAGTGTATATGTAGCCACGTGTTTGTATATATACAGTATATTTGATAATATTGATGTTTTCTTTAAATGAAATTTTCTAACCAAATAAACTTGAATTTAGCCTATTCTTACTCTCTTCCTTTCTATTTTGTTGAGCCCGAAAGGGTTCACAATATGATTCTTTTACCATGTAACACCTTGTACGCCATTGTAGAATACAAATAAAGAATATTCAATATTATGTTACATTAATAAAAACCTTTCTATGTAAGAAAATTGCGATACCGATGCTGTTGACCACCAAACCACCGTCTCGACATTGACTAACTAGTAAGAAGTGTCAATTAATATTAAGACGTAATAACATGAATTCTTGGTTTTATAACATAATAGATGCTCTGTGTAAGTATATTTTATCAAACACGCAGTTTGTTTATATCCAAGTAAATCCTAACATTGCCTTTTTTACAACATAATAATATGGTCCTAATTTATAAGCATAAAAGAACAGTAGAAATAGAAATTTTTATACATATAGCTTGATTAGGTACAATATTGGTATGCCGTATATTTACTTATAACAAGACTAAGTATTCTGAGCAGATTCATAAAAATTCGTCTTCTAAAGTGTAGTAAGACAAAACAAAAAATACGGTAGAAGTGGTTAGTTAGCGTCAGACGCGTGCCAACATATTAGGTCTCGAAAGACCTACTTGAGTTCAGTCCGCCATGTTCGCTTTGTATGGTATGGTTGTGTCATTCTTTGCCGCAATTCCTCTGAAATCGCACAAAAAATACACACTCCAAAACAGCACTATAAGGCTATTGTGTTGTCTTGGAGTGCGAAAACGATAACCGCACCAAAAACATTACCCGTAGTAATATTTCATATCATCGGTAAGTTTTATATTAATAAATTTTCAATTTCCTGTATATCGAATTGATTCAGATATTAATCGTTCGTCATAGTCTAGCTACTGGCCACAAGATGGCAGCATGTTGAATAAAATTTCAATATAAAATCAAAACGTCGTAACTTGCAATAAAGTAATTGTACATTCAACGATATAGCGACAGGCTAAAGTTTTAATTATATTTACAATCCAGAATTTGTTACATATTTTTAAATTAAAAGCTATGACAAATCAATATCAAGAGTGTTTACCATTTGTTTGTGTCTGTTATGGCGACGACAGCGGTTCCGATAGTAATAGAGGCTTTAGGTCATTCAATTGTTTTTTTTTTTTCCGTGGTGATGAATAATAGCGATAACGCTTTTCCTCTGTATATATTTTTTTCATTAGCCTATTAGCTCCGGTGTACGGAAATCTTTAAGTACCTAGTTCGTTTCGTAGTTTAAGTCAATCAGACGAAACGTGCGTTCACATCATCGAGGTTACTATAGTAAGATATTTAGGCTGCTCTCAGACAGACTATGCAGTCTGCACTTCGAGCTTGCGCTCAAAGTTGTTATACACAGACTGCATGCAGTCGACACTGACTTCAAGCACCTCTATTCCCACTACTTCTGTTGTAATGTTCTGTTGATAGAACTACTGGTACTTTTACGATTCTCAGTAGTTCTGTCGGTAAACCCTAACTCAGGAGCTCAGTATAAAAGTTTACGGCAAAATGAAAACACGGATGTTACTTTTGTTATTATTGTTTGCGAACAACGATTGAAGTAGAAACAACCAATTCGGTTGATTTTGATTTCTGCAACAGGAATTGTCGCATGGCGCCTGTTAATACTGTGAGCACTAAATGTGGAGAACCTAAGTTCGATTCCCGGTAGGGTCGAAAGAGTATTTTTTTATAATATCAAGCGAACAAGTCGTGCGCCTGATGGTAAGCTACACGCCTGTGCATAACAGTTGCAGTGCCACTGACAGCTTTAAATCGCGAAGATCTGACGGGCACTGCCTCTGCGCCCGTCATCCTGAGACATAAGTTGACAAGTCCCATGTGTCTGTAATTTTATTGTGCAAATCTGATCCACTATTGTTTTTTAAAGTGGTGTCTTTGAACGATACCTAATGCTTAGAAAAAATTGGATGATGATAAAAAATACACTGTATGCACCGTGTTGCGAAGTTGCAAACAAATAGTATATTTTTTCTTAGTAGAAAATATACATATATTTTACTCCGGTACCATAATTAGTATAATATCATTGCTATAATCTGTCAATTATAATTTCATAAACAATGTGATAAAAGCGCTCTTTATAGTTCTGAATCAAAATTCTAGGGGGATTCGCTCTGGACCTTTTGGAGGGAAAAGTGTCGTTTATTTTTCTTTCAATTATTTTGTGAAATCTAGTCAATCTAATCAATTTGGTTGTATTTTTTTTCTTGTATGTATTTTACGCGATAATTACGGCCTTTGTGAATCTATTTTGATGATAATGTTTTTATCGGAAAGAGGGTACCATAGTGTTGGCCCCATTTAAATTTTAAGAAAATATTTCGCCTAAGAGGGTGAAAAACTAGAAGATAAATTTATAATAACCAATAGCAATACAACTTGGTAAATAGATGTAATTCACCGAAGTTTTGAGGTCGGTTTTTTAGTACTCTGTAGGTACTGTATTCATTTTGATAGATTCTGGTCTAACTGAAAATTGTACGTAGATACCAAATATAAGTCCAATCTAATAAGAAAAATAAAACACAATTTGTTTGCTATTTCATGTCAGATAGCGACTGCCAACGATACTACATCTGCATCAACAGTCGTCCACGCGTCCTGGCGTGCGGTGGAGACAACGCCTTTGACGAACTGACGTCAACCTGTGTCTCTGCTGATGAAGTATCTGCCTGCCCTTCAGACCTTCGAGCTGTAGCTGCAAGGTCCAGGGAAGATGAGAAACAGAGATTAGCCAAGCAAATTCAGATAGATTCCATTCCTCTAAATCAGAGGAGGCGACAGTTTTAAAATTTCTGGTTTTTTATGAATACAATTTAACAAAAGTCAAAAAGAATCCTACTCGAAGTACTTTTTAATTATTGAACACAAAATACCATGAAACAGGCAAAATACGTAATTTGGAGGAACAGTAGTATCAAAATTATCTGAATTATCAAACTAAATAACCAAAAGTATCTACTTACTTACATATATTATATT